GGGCAGCAGAGGGTCAGTCTGACAGAGCAGAGCCTGACATGGAAGTGCGTTCGAAGCAAAGGTGTGGAATTGAGCTCCTGCATGTGGAAAAGACAACACCCACTGCTATTCATTGACACTGAACACGTATGGAGACCAAGCAGTGGATGTGAGCACAGTGAGGGGTGGGAGCTTCATTTCAGTATTGGCAACAGTGGGTCACCTCTACTGGTGCAGATTTTTACAAGCGTGGTGTGCAGGCTCTGGTTCATAGTAGGTGAAAACGCACAGCTAATGGTGGTGATTATGTTGGAAAATAGTGTGTTGTAGCCAGCAATGTGCTCCATCCAATGGTGCTTTTGTGCTCTTTGTAGCTGTTGTACTTCCCACAGAAATAATCACACAATCACAGAAACACCAAAGTTGGAAAAGACCTACAAGATCATCCAGTCCAACCATCCACCTATCACCAACAGTTCTCACTAAACCATATCCCTCAACACAACATCCAAACCTTCCTTGAATAAATAGGTTGCTCCAAAAGTAGTACCTCCTATGTAGTTCCCACATCATTAAATCCACTGAAAAATCTACCTAGGCCCATTAACTTAGTAAACACATTTAGAAGATGTGTAGAAGATTATGTAGCTACACCTCTATGGAAAAAACCACTCCAGCATTCTGATGTTATACAAACCAAGATGAAGTGATCTCATGACTGTCACAAAAATACAGTATGTCGTCCACCTGCCAAGCAGACTACTCACATACTCAATGCATTTTAGAAGGATCACACAGGAAGAGAGATGTTCACCTGTTCACAATACCCGCCCTCTCAAATGTTCTCCCTGATTAGTTCAATTCAGGGAACAAACTGGGAGGAGCGATCTAAAGAAGCTGCACATCTACATTCCCTGAGAAAACAAAAGAGCTGATTTGCTTCTGATTTCTGTTAGCAATCAAATAACTTTCATTTTCTCATTAATAAGAAGAGGTTTAACAGCACAGTATGGACTATGAACAACTCCAACTATGGAGTTGTTCTTCCTTCACTCACTTCTTGCCTTGGGGAAGCAACAGAGAATAAACTCTACATGACAGATGCTAGCCACAGTGTTTAAATTTGTTCAAATCTTTTACGCTAAAAAGAATTGAGAAAATGTGATTAAATGAATAAAAAACTGTAACAAAGTGAGATTAAGGTACTACTCAGAATTTCAGAATTAGTGAAGCCTTCAAACAATGTCCACATTAATTTATAGCTCAGTACATTCATTTTTTAAGCCCAGGTGTGGTTCCATAAGAATTCTTAGGGAGTTATTACATCCAGAAATGCAAAGCATCTAGGGTGAAGTGAATGCAATTCTTTATTGCACTCACTTCAGGAGGTTCACTGTGATACAACAGCAGTTCTGAAATCTACGGCATTAGCATTTGACTATATTGTAGGATACTGTAATGGAGAACAAGTCCTGACAGCTGGCCCAGAGAAATTCAGGAGTCAGTTAGGTTTTCTTGATGGATAGAGAGAAAGCAAACAAGGGTCAGGTGGCAGACTGGACAGTGACTACACAGTCTCATGCATCACAGCATTCGCTGCATGTGCATTAAAAGACTCAGTAAGAGGTTTTTGCAACAAGCAGCTCCTGCTATATCCAACCTGGAGCTACATATGCAAACCTATATACTGTCTAGATTGCTTTCAGACTGGAGAACAGCATAAGAATTATTTCCAACTCATATTTAGAGATTGTGAGGATTTTCAAATTGTGTCAGATCAAGACTTACTAATTCGTACTCAAAGTTTCCAAGCATAAACCTTAGCTATCCTACCATTTCTCAGTGGCCAAGAAATTCAATAAATCAACTGATGTATCACAAGTAGAATCTGACTCATTCACTCAGTGTGAAGATGAAACACATTCATATAGGAGATATTTTTAAATATCAGATTCTTAGCTTTCCTTGAGTTAATTTGCTTATATGACTTTGTATATATGAAAGTGTGTCAGCTGTGTAAACTTCTCTTTTTCCCATCTATCTTTTCTAAGAGCCACGCTTCAAAGGTCAAGAGGATTTTTTTTAAACTCAACTCAGCATACAGATCCTTTAAACTCAGGGAAAAAAATTCTAAGGCTAGCCCTAATCAAAGTAAAGGAAAAGCACAGCTGCTTCCAGTGGACTCCACTAGGCATTCGGTTAGGACAAATCAGGGGCTAAGACAGCTATTGGCTGGTTAAACGTGCAAATCTGGTATTAATTAAGATATTTAAAGTACTTTCCAGTATTCTTTAGATTCCTGGAAAGTCTGAACTCACTGCCTAAAATTAAAAAAAAAAAACACAGGAATTGTCCTCGCAGGAATCTTTGCTTTGAATTAAGGACTATCAGTTGCCCAGTCATTGCCTACTGATCAGCTCACATGCTCTGCACGTGAGGCGTGGGATGCCTCAAGTTCCCACAGAAATCCAAACAAGAAGGAAAATATATTCCATTTTTAGTATAACTGTTAAAAATACAGTGCAAATCTCCAGCCTCAGTGCAAATCTGGAACAAGTACACTGACAGCCATGACTATCCTCAAAATACAACAGTTTAATTGATATTAGAAAAAATTCATTTATATACAATTTCTGACACTTTTTCTCTAAGATATTAAGACAAAATTCAAGAGAAGGCATTCTCATGGAAGAAGGCTGAAGTAACAGCTTCCCCTGAAGCCACCCCAAAGAAACCCAAAGAACTGAAAACAAGGCTCTTACTGCATATTTTCTGTTCCATCACTTTAAGCTGAATGGGGTAAGGGGAAGAAGTTCTGCAAGATGATCACTTTCTGTTAAATTCATGTTAGTAATGAGTTACTTTGCAAACAACAACTGACTTCATTCCTTTTTAATCTTATTATGGGGTCTTACCATTGTCTGTACAGATGCAAAGTGGTGCCTGTCTTCGCCTATGCTCAGCATTTGTTACCAAACCATAGCTGGAATAGTGAAATTGCTACAAACCTGCAGCCAAAGAAAGATATCACTATGGAGATTTTCACTCCTTCTTTTATGCATTACAGAAGATGCCACAAACAAGTTTGCTCTGCAAGCCAGCAAGAGCCCACAAGTGAGATGAATCCTGCATTACTTCTGTATATGAGCAATCTTTATTTCCTAAATTTTATTCCCAAGTATTGTCATCAGCAAGGATGTGATGTTCCCAAGGAACCACTAGCCCTGTACCTGCATCTCCAGCATGTTTTTAGTAGTATTGTGTAGAAGAATATCCTAAAAAGACAGGTTAGAGAAGGAGTCTGATTTCCCATTACAGCATAATACTTTCTGAAACACAGCAGCAACATAGCTATGCTTTAATATCCACTGCTACATACTCCATGTTCTAGTAGGCTGCTTACAGAAATCTACGCCAAGAAAAAAGTAATTGTAAGACAGAAACTGTTCAGTTCCTTTCAGAATAAGAATCCACAGTATAAACTTATTTAAAGATAATCCATTATATTTTTCATTTTATTCTTTAGCTTGATAAACCATCTCTTTGCATTTACTCTCTAGTGCTCATGTGATAGAAGATACCTAAGCTTCTTCCCATAAAGAAAAAAAAACAAAAAAACAAACAAAAAAAAGCTTCCCTTTCTCTATGCTAGTTTACATAAAACCCAACACAATCTCCTTAGAGAATGGAAAAGCAGTAAGTTCTGTGAGTCCACTACGGATATAAGAAGGTCAGCAAATAATCAGTTTTAAAGCACATGGAAAACGCAGATCCCTGATATCAATGAAAAAAGAAAACACAAGAAAAGAAAGAAAAAAACCCAGCAACACACATCAACTACATCAACCACATTACCTCACAGCTATTTGCATAAGGGTCCAGAGGCAGTACAGTATAAGTACAGAGACACAAGCTATCCAAAGAGAACTTAGCAACGGTTCTATTGGATACTGCCTGCTTCTGTAGCAGAAGAGGAGCAACTTTGAAGCTCAGATGTGCAAACAGCTTTAAAGGCAGACGCATCCAGCAGAAGTCTAAAACTACAAACCAGGTAATCAAATAATTTCCTTTTTAGCTGATTCTAACTTTCCTTCTAAAGGTTGCTCTGAGACAAATAGCCTATGCAATAATCTCAGGGCTGCAATCGCCTGTTTAAAAAATGCACAGAACTTCACAACACTGTGCATTACAGTTCTTTATGCTTTATGTTAAGCTAAATGATTTGTATGGTAATATTAAAGATACATTCCATTCTGTTGAAGGAACCCCCCTTACTGGGAAATAAATCAGTGGTAAGTGCCTTAGAAATTCCAGCGTTTAGCTAGAAGAAATAGACAACACTTGCTATCTAGGCAAACAGTAATAGAGAATATGATGATTATTATGTGTCTGAAAAATGTGTGATGGTTTCCCAATGAAATAAATCTCTGTAGCTACACAGCACAGCTATCTTCTTAAGCAGAAGAAGATATATATATCTACAAGCAGCTGCTTCAAATGCACAGAAAGAGATATTTAAAAACTAACAGGCTAGTGAGACCAGGCTTTATCTGAAGGCAGAATGGAAGTGCTGTAAATCACAACATCATTTTAAAAAGAACCCATCGCAAAGGAATTGCCTGGTGGGCATTGCTAGTGCAAGTATACATCTGTGCACCTCATGCATGGCAACAGTTAATACAGTGTTTAAGAGGGAAATTATTTTTGCCTCTTTACAAAAGAAAAACAAAATCTCTGGGTTTCAAATCATCTGTACAACATGAAGTTAGATGTCTGAAGTGTTAATTTATACATACAAGAAAAAAAATGAACAAGCGCCTGGTTCCAATTATGAGGAATTTACATATTCTTGGAAGAATATAACAGAAAACAGGAGGGATCTTCATAAGACACTTCAGCCTACGTATCAGTGACAAATTTCTTTTTCAGTGTCTGGAATCATGGCCATTATTTCTAGATTTATTTAACTCCAACCTCCTCTCCCACTGTTCTCTCTCCCATGGAAGTTGCAGGAAATCAGAATGCCATCTATCCAGCTGCCAGTGCTACTCCTTTGCCTGACCTTGTCTGGTGTTTGCCTCAACGGCAAGCAGTCCCCTCCAGAAGTAAGTGAAAAAATGGGAAGAAGTTCCCTGGATGACATCCTGCAGAGATCTAGGAGCCACATGCTTCCATCTGTTGTCAAGAAAGTTGAGAAGAAAGAAGAGATGAATAAAGGTATATATAACATTGGAGACATCCCTATAGAAATATTGGTGCACTCCTTGGCTGAGATTATTAGTGTATTTATTTCACAGACTCTAATTGCGTAGATTCATTACTCTAACAAAGAGAAGGAAACGGGCACACAGTCTGTTGTAATACACTGCCACAGTTCTCAAAAGAGGCTTTCTTCTCTAAGATCTCCCAGCTTAAGCAGTACCACAGCATTACTAAGTAATCTGCTGTATGGAAAAAAAAAAAAGAAAAAAAAAAGGTAGAAGCCAGCCATGGTATCTGCCAATCTGGCAAGCACTTTTCTAGGGAAACCCTAAAAGGACTCATGGAAGACATTCCCCACTTTTAGACCTTGTACCTAATGAGGTAGGAGTGCTCCCATTCACCTATTGCCTCAACCTTCAAGCTTCCACACTCCAACAAAGATGGGCTTTACTGTGGCTGGGAATGTAGAGGCAGCATTAGTGTCACCTGATAGCTTGCAGATGCTCTTTTCTCACCAGTCACAGCACTGGAAGCAAATCAGGCTCAGTGGCAAGCAGCAGCACAGAGACCTTGAAGAGTGGGAAGAGGAGCTGGCCTCAAGTGGCCTTGGAAAGAGACTTCCTGCCTCTTCACATGAATGCTGAGAGTTTGTGACATCAAACTAAGATCTGAAATATTAAGCAGAGCTTAAGAATAAGAAAGAGATACCAATAGAGTTAGGATAGTCAGAAATAATGACTTTGCATTCAAATGTACACACTCCTGCTTCTACTCTTACCTCAGCCCCACCTTTTCTCCATCTCATGACGATGTCTAGCTTTTCCTGTGTACCCAGCTACTGCAGCTGATCTCTGCCAGCTGCCCCATATCTTCAGCTCACCTCGTTTCAAATCAACACACCAAACTTTGTTATTGCATGCATTCCCACTTTTTTGCAGCTAGTTCCTAACACATCAATCCATCCTTGGTAAAAATGTGTCAGAATTGTTTTGACAGAGGCCCTGCGGAGTGATCAAATTCAAGACCACTGTTAACAATGTAATTAAATGCGTATAACGAACAGCAGACTATGATCTGTACTCCACAGACCTTAGTACTCCACAGACTCACACTTCAAGTTCTTTAGTGAAGATTTATAGGGGTTAATTAACATTATTCTTCTCCTTGGACAGAACTAAATGTGCCTCTACCACAACGGCTTTCCAAAAGACAACATCCTGGAAAAAGATACATAAGCAACCTAGAGAAGAGACAGCATCCTGGAAAAAGAAATGCTGAAGAAGAGGCATCTTTTGGAGACATTCAGAAGAGACAGAATTTAGGGAAAACAGAAGTAGAAGGCTACCTTGCCAACTACCTGGAGCTGAAAAAGCGACAGCATCCTGGCAGAAGGTCACTGTGGGACCAGTCCACTGACATCTCTAGTTCACAGCTAACTTACTTAAATGAGTTATCCAGGAGGCAGCATCCAGGCAGAAGATATCTGATGTTTAAGCACCAGCATCCTAGCAAGAGAAGCTGGAATGATGAGCTAGACCTAGATGATCAAAACTGGGAGAAACACCAGCACTTTGGAAAAAGGGACAGGGATTCTGACAGCCCAGATCATGCAGGTCCCTGTGATCTTCAGCAGTCTGCCATTTGTAACAAAGGTAGCTTGTTACTTGACTTAGCAGAAAAATCTAGTAAAGAGAGGTTAGAAGAAAAACGTCAGCACCCAGGAAGGAGGTCAGCACGGGAGAACAAAACAGAGGAATGAGAAAGTAATTGTTTATCATTTGAATATGGTGAAGTAAAATGACAGAACAAAAAAAAAATGTTTATTCCCTTCTGGCTTCCTGCTGCTGACCTCCAAATCTATCTTTCAGTGAGTGAGTGTCCTCATCTAAACCAGTGGTTTTGTCACACACCTCAAGTAAAGGAACTGGGAAGCACTCAGCTGAATAGAATAGGTGAGTAGTGCGCTTTCACCTCCCTCACTCTGTGAAATTAAGAATACTCAGTTCCTTTATGGGCCTAGAGCCTAGAATATTCACGTTACCTGTGAACTACAACAAGCTCTTTAATATTCGTTCTGATGTTACTATACTAATTACATCATTTCCTTTCGTGTCAGTGAAATCAGTACATGATTGGGAAAAAAAAAAGGAACATATGCAAATGATTTCAAAATGAAACTGAAAAGCTTTTCAATTCTAAATGATACGTTAATGAGACCTCATGCATTACAATCTATCCAAACAATAAGAACTGAACAGATAAGGAGACTGCTCCAACTGCAACAGATAAGGTGACTGGCTTCATACTTTGACTTGGAATTGAAAAACAAAAATTTCATAGAGGAAGCTGCAGAGTGCAAAGGGTTACTGCATCCCAGAATAACTCAATCTCCCAGTTGTGAAGTCGGCTGTGTACACCTCACCTTAGAGCCTCCATCCTGATGTGTTAACATTTCAGTCATTCTCCTTGAAATATGTCTTCTCTTTAGATATGTAAAATGGAAACAAAAAGAAAATCCTTTCTTCTGTCAGGATTTCTGAGTTCTTCCCTCTCAAAGGAATGCTTTCCCTTCTGTGATGAGACTCACAAAAGTGTTTATTTGATATAAATGATTCAATAAACATAAAAAGTAAACTCCACATCCTTACTGGTTGTGCAAGTGTACTGTAGTAGAGAGAAAAAAACAATCCAAGCTAAGTCAAAATAAATAAATGAACACTAGGAGATACTTTTCTAGGTAGAAGCTTCTTGCATGCTGGTCAGCCCTTGTTTATTTGTAAGACTGGTTTGCTAGCAAACAAATATATTCCCTTTTAAAATCCACTACCTGTATGACACACAGGAACAGACAGCGGGGTTAAGCCCATAGACATTTTGCCATTCAGTTCATAAGGAACTTCAGTCGTTTGAGTCTGGTCTTGGCAGGCAAAACTGGTTAGAAGCAGACTTGTTTTGAACAAAAGAAGAAAGCTCAACTGATCCATGCTGCTCAAACCTTCTGAGTTCCATAACCTTTTGCAACTTAGTTATACAGCAAGTCATGCTAGCATGTAAATCACTGAAGAGGAAACCGAGAATTCAGTGTGATTGATTGTGACTGATTACTACGCGCACACATACATGTCTCTTAGAATTGTATAAACAATCATTTATTTGAAATTAAAATACCTCTATATGCATTTGCATGGTCTGCAAACACCAGTCTTCTGTGTTTTGTTCAAGGTCTCCGTTTCATAAAGATGTCATTACGTGAGGTACGTACCTCATGCACTGTACTAGCAGTAGAGGGAACAAAAATTACAGCTCTGATTTCCTGTTCACAAGCCTAAACATAAGATCTACTGATTTTTGCAACTAATGCATATTTACTGTGAATTGAGAGTTATTCACATTACTTTCCTGTACACTTGAATAGGTTACACCATGTCAGTATTTCACTAGAATGCTATTTTTTAAAGAACGAGCACGTTCTCTACTCACAGTGATCTCTCAATATCGTCAAAGCATGTGAAGTACCTCCAATGTTCTTTCTAAAACTGACTGCTTCCTCACTCTGTCTCAGAGCACTTCCTCAGCTACAGAAATCAGTGATGCCAGTGAGCTTAGCTACCTTGAAGAAAAATAATTAACCACATCAGCAAGCTTGACTGAAGTTAAATGCTCCCAGGCCGATCAATGCCCAGCATGGTCTATCGAACAATCTGTAACTCCAGAGATAATACATCGTTTGAGATATGACAGCTGGCAGACCTCTGCGTTGACAGGGGCTTTCTGATTAATGAACGCAAAACAAATCCTCAGAGGGGCGAGATGGGAGCACACTGTACTGCCTGAGTTTCTTCAGCATATTTTCACTGTAAGGTGCCTTCTAAAATGCTCAGGTTTCATTTCAAAAGGGAAGAAAAGATTCATCTGAAGAATACCATTTCATGTAAAATTTCCTGCAAGGAATGAATGCCTCTTAAATATCAAGAAAACTTGGTAGTACTACACAATACCATCAATACTTGCTAAAATACATATATATAAAATAAGGGGGAAAAAAACAGGAAAGAAATAATTACCAAGTGAGTAAATGGGCAATAGCAAAAATGCATACCAGCATAAAGATTGTACTTGCGAGACAAGGATGCTGTGGAATGGCTAAACAAAAGCCAGGGTTGAGGAAGGGAGAGAAGGGGGGGGACTGCCTCAGATCAAAGTTGCTATAGTGCAGCTGCAAACAGCTGGTTTGTCCTACTTGGTTTTGCTCATACAACCTGCCATCCTGAGCAAATCACATACAAAATTTATTACAATAAATCAATCATTTATTAAGAAGTGTGTTCTCTCACTGTGGTCAGTGAAAGCTAGCACAGATTATTTTATGCAAGTCTATTTTTTCCATTAGCTGTACTTTAGGCTCTGAGTGCTTCAGTGCATACAGAACTGCCAGGTTAGGCCAGAGGATCATCATCTGCTCAAAAGCTCTCACCCTGACAGTTTTGAAGAAACTGATTTTATTGGTTTAGAGCTTTTTTTTTTTTTCCCTCCCCAAAAGCAAAATCTAATCTGACAGCAATTTACTGTAAATCAGATTTATCATCACTTCATAGAATCATAATTATTATTACATCTACAATTTTTAAAATCTCCCTTGATTTGGAGCTTGTCTGGCTGGAATAACGTAAGCAGACAGACACTAGGAGAGCTCTGACCTATTTCAACCACTTTCCTGAAGTTTCACTACTGTAACAAAAGATCTTTGGAAAATGACAGAAACACTCCCAGGGATTCCTGGGCATATGTAAATAATCCCCATCCCAGCTATTGAGACACTGAGCAGTTGATTACAAAAGAACAGTAGAAGAGTCTTCAGAATGAGCTTTGTTTTCAAAAGGAGGGGAAAGTTGGAGCAAACGAACTGTGCAATTAACATTTCCTTCATTTTTAACTGCTCTGACCATTACTGTTCTATTCCCCTCCACACACTTTTGCTAAACTATTGTAATTAGCTCGTGCTGAGTGTTTCCAAGGGAACGTACCCTTTATTACTACTTTTAACGACTCTTACTTGGAGAAAGTTCAACAACAAACTTAACATCATAGCTGAAGCAGAGTCACTACTTGAATGGTAACTCAGCTAATGCTAACCTGCCAACTAAAATTTCCAGGTACCAGTCAGGGCACTGCTGTGAATGAAAACTACAAAAAAAGCAGTTGTAGCAATTGAACAGATCAATACAATGGGAAAGGCACTAACAACAAGGGCATGATGATGAAAGGACTAGCACAATGGAGAGGTGCTACAAAGGAAGGGAATTAGATTGCTCACCCGCATCAAAGGATTCTAGGATCGAAGTGGAAAGCTTCACCAACAAAGAATCTCCATGCAGACCCTTCCCCCGTGGAAGACAGCCCTTACTTGAGCTCGGAGAGAAGTGCAGCGAGGCTGTACCCCTTCCTGCCACACCGCTGAATTGTTTTCACCTGTGCTCCCAGGGCTGACTCAGTCCTTTCCCCAGGTGCTCAATCAAAGATTCACGCTGTGAGTCAACAGTTCCCATACAGCAGTCAAGTGGAGAAGCACAGCAAGTACAGCCTGAACACAGATATGACAAAAAAAGATATAGAGGGGAGCATACTTGTTTTTTGGAAATAGATGGACAGTATTCACTCAAGTGCTAAAGCCCCACTTTCAACAAGAAGAGAGTGAAGGCCCCACTCTTACAGGAAGGATTCATTCTTACAAGGAAGGATTCAGGCTGAACACAGAGGTCTCTGATAAAGATAGATGGAGAAGTTCCTTGAGAACACTGTGCTATCTACAGCTCCCTCACTGAGACAAAGCATGTCAGATACTAATCTCACGTGCTGATCTTAGCCAGAAGGTAAAGACAGCTCTCGAGTTCACTGCAGCCACTTTCATTTGAGCTGACACTAGTGAGCCAGACAAGAAAGCTGGCACAAGAAGTGCTTGGTGACATGAGTAGCACCTTCCTTTGCTACTCACAGGTAACAAAACATTGTGCCTTCCTCATGTTCACATGAAAAGATGGCAATCTGGTCTGAAAAAGGACAAAACTGGAAAACACACAAATACTCCCACAAAATGGGATGGAGGTAAACCAGGTATCAATTTGTCATACCAGAGGAATTTAGTTTATTGCCATCATTAATGGATATTCTACCTGAATGTAAATGAGTATGACTCAGTACAAACATTTTAATAGATAAAAGATATTATGGAAAATGTGAAATCATGAGAAGTAAAACAAAGGAAAGTGACCTTCTTTGAATAGGATATCTGAAATATGATTGTTTTAAAAAAATTTCCACAGAGAAATGTATGCTTCCACCATCGGTTCCCTTTTGACTCTGAAACCACTGCTGATGTGTAAGATGCCTGAAGGAACTATTGTAAAAAAAAAAAAAAAAAAAAAAAAAGAAGAGGGGGAGAAGGAGGAAGGCAGAAGAAAAAAAGATGACAAATAAAAAATAGAATCGGACTGTACAAAAAATTCTGAGAGACAAAGCAGCCAAGAAAAAAAAAACCAAGCACGCCACTAGGAGAAGCTCTTTGGCAGGTTGTATTGAAGAGGACATCAACAGCAGCCCTGCTGAAGAACCACAAATCATTCATTGTTAAGCAGCCTCTTCCTCTTGTGAAGCAAGCAGGTAGCAGTGAGGAGGTATTGCACTTACTGACTTCAGATGTGCTGCTCAAATGGGAATTGGCTCCTGAACAACTGTGTAGGCAGAACAGAACAGAGGCTGCCC